CCACGGCAGGGTCTCCACGGAGGGTGAGAGGAACTCCCAGCGCACACCTCTGAAGGGTGTGGCTGACACCGCTGGCCCCTGGATCAGCTGGGGCAGATGGACCTTCTGGGTCATTACTGTGCATAGATGTGAAGCTGTAAGGGTCCCCCCATCTAAAGGTGAAAACAAATATATCTTGGAGATACTCTAGTTCTACTCCAAGGCATCACATTAAAGCAAACATTGCAATCAAGCGAGGCACATATTTTTTTTTTTTTTTTGGTTTCCCAGTGCATATAGAACTTATATTTGAAATATACTGTAGTCTGTTATGTGTACATTAACATTATGCCTAAAAAATGATGCAGCCCTAGCCTATTTGGCTCAGTGGCTAGAGCATCAACCTATGGACTGAAGGGTCCCAGGTTTTCGATTCCGGTCAAGGGCACATGCCCGGGTTTCAGGCTCAATCCCCAGTGTGGGGCGTGCAGGAGGCAGCCAATCAATGATTCTCTCTCATCACTGATGTTTCCATCTCTCTCTCCCTCTCCCTTCTTCTCTGAAATCAATTAAAAAAATGTTTAAAAATGATGCATACACCTTAATTTAAATACACTTTATTGCTAAAAATACTAACCATCATCTGAGCCTTCAGCAAGTTATAATCTTTTTGCTGACAGAGGGTCTTTCTTCGATGTTGATGGCTGCTGACTGATCAGGGTGGTGAATGCTGAAGGCTTGAGTGGCTGTGGCAATTTCTTAAAAAACCACAGTAAAGTTTTCTGCATCCACTGACTCTTCCTTTCAGGAACAATTGTTCTATAGACTGTGATTCTGTTTCATAGCATTTTACTCACAGTAGAACTTTTTTCAGTATTAGTCAATCCTTTCAAACCTGGTGCTGCTTTATTAACTAAGTTTATGTAAATTCTAACTTCCTTGCTGTAATTTCACGAATCTTTACAACATCTTCACCAGGAGTAGATTCCATTTAAAAAATAGAATCCCTCTATCCTCGTCTATAAAAAATACCTCCTCACCCATTAAAGTTTTATCATAAAATTACAACAATTCAGTCACATTTTCAGGCTCTGCTTCTAGTTCTACTTCGCTTGCTATTTCCACCACATCTGCAGTTACTTCTACCACTGAAGTATTAAACCACTCAAAGTCATTCATGAGGGCTGGAATGAACTTCTTCCAAACACTTGTTAATGTTGATATTTTGACTTCTTCCCATGAACCATAAATGCTCTTAATGGCATCTAGAATGGTGAATCCTTCCCAGAGGTTTTCAATTTACTTTGCCTAGATCCATCAGAGGAATCTCTATGGCAGCCAGAGCTTTATAAAAAGTATTTATTAAATAAAAAGACTTTAAAATTGAAATTACTCCTTGATCCATGAGTCCAGAATGGATGTTGTGTACAGGCATGAAAACAACATTAATCAGAACTCTTGGCTGACCAGGTGCATTGTCAGTGAGCAGCAATATTTTCAAAGAAATCTTTCTTCTGAGAAGTGGGCTAAAGTATTCAGTAAACCATGTTGCCAACAGATGTGCTGTGACTCAGGCTTTGTTGTCCAGGAAAAGTAGATTTAGCATATTCTTAAGGGCTCTAGGATTTTCAAAAAAGTAAATGAGCAATGGCTTCAACTTAAACTCACTGGCTGCATTAGCCCCTAAGAAGAGAGTCAACCTGTCCTTTGATGCTTTGAAGCCAGGCATTGACTTCTCTCCAGCTATATTGCATTTTCTTCCAATATAGAGCCCCTTTTGCCACATTAAAAATCTGCTGTTTAGTGTAGCCACCTTCATTCATTGTCATAGCTAGATCTTCTGGATAACTTACTACAGCTTCTAGCTCAGCACTTGCTGCTTCCCCTTGCCCTTTTATGGTATGGAGATGGCTTCTGTTCTTAGACCTCATGAACCAGCCTCTGCTGGCTTCTGCTTTTCTTCTGAAGCTTCCTCACCTCTCTCAGTCTTCACAGAACTGAAGTTAGGGCTTTGCTCTGGATTCAGCTTTGGCTTGAGAGAATGCTGTGGCTGTGTTGATGCTGTATCCAGACCACTAAAGCTTTCTCCGTATCAGCGATAAGGCTGTTTTGCTTTCTTCTTTTTTTTTTTAAATTAAATTTTTATTGTTCAGATTATTACAGTTGTTCCTCTTTTTTCCCCCCATAGCTTCCCTCCACTCGGTTCCCACCCCACCCTCTGCCCTTACCCCCACCCCCCCACTGTCCTGATCCATAGGTATATAATTGTTGTCCAGTCTCTTCCCCCACTCCCCACACCCCTTTCCCCCCAAAAATAGTCAGTCCACTCCTTTTCTATGCCCCTGATTCTATTATATTCACCAGTTTATTCTGTTCATTAGATTATTTATTCACTTGATTTTTAGATTCACTTGTTGATAGATGTGTATTTGTTGTTCATAATTTGTATCTTTACCTTTTTCTTCTTCTTCCTCTTCTTAAAGGATACCTTTCAGCATTTCATATAATACTGGTTTGGTGGTGATGAACTCCTTTAGCTTTTTCTTATCTGTGAAGCTCTTTATCTGACCTATCATTCAATTCTGAATGATAGCTTTGCTGGGTAAAGTAATCTTGGTTGTAGGTTCTTGCTATTCATCACTTTGAATATTTCTTGCCACTCCCTTCTGGCCTGCAAAGTTTCTGTTGAGAAATCAGCTGACAGTTGTATGGGTACTCCCTTGTAGGTAATTGACTTTTTTTCTCTTGCTGCTTTTAAGATTCTCTCTTTGTCTTTTGCTCTTGGCATTTTAATGATGATGTGTCTTGGTGTGGTCCTCTTTGGATTCCTTTTGTTTGGGGTTCTCTGCGCTTCCTGGACTTGTAAGTCTATTTCTTTCACCAGGTAGGGGAAGTTTTCTGTCATGATTTCTTCAAATAGGTTTTCAATATCTTGCTCTCTCTCTTCTTCTGGCACCCCCATAATTCAGATATTGGTACGCTTCAAGTTGACCCAGAGGCTCCTTACACTATCTTCATATTTTTGGATTCTTTTTTCATTTTGCTTTTCCGGTTGGGTGTTTTTTGCTTCTTCGTATTTCAAATCTTTGACTTGATTCTTGGGATCCTCTTGTCTGCTGTTGGATCTCTGTATATTATTCTTTATTTCAGTCAGTGTATGCTTAATTTCTAGTTGGTCCTTTTTCATATCCTCCAGGGTCTCACTAAATTTATTGGCGGTTTCTAGAAAATTCTTGAAAAAACCTTATAACCGTGGTTTTGAACTCTATATCCAGTCATTTGCTTTCCTCCATTTCTGTCATTTGTGATCTGTTTCTTTGTCTCCACATTTTGGCTGCTTCCCAGTGTTAATAGAGTGGCTTTCTGTGCTAAGTGTCCTATAGGGCCCAGTGGCTCAGCCTCCCCAATTACTGAGGTGGACACTCTTGGTGCACCCCTTTGTGGGCTTTGTGCACAGTCTTGTTGTAGTTAAGCCTTGATTGTTGTAGGTATCACTGGGAGTAATTGACCTCCAGGCCCATTGGCTGTGAGAATCAGCTGTGTCTACAGTGGGAGAACTTCTGTGCTGGAGACACCCTTCTGGGGCAAGACTTGCTTCAGTGGGGCTTTGGTGCTCACTGAGTCTGCCCCCTGAGTATGTCCCTTATGGATCTGAGGAGTTGTAATCTGAATGGTCCCAATCTGACCACTGGGTACACAGGCTTTTGGATCTCTGAGGAGGTGCTAATTTAGCCTCTGCCTGAGACTACCCAGCAGGAGCTATGGAGAGATCTGCAGTTTCCTCTTTCTTGTTTGGGGTTTGGAGGTGCCCAGATGAGGCCCAGCTGTGAAGCAATGAAAGCTGCTGTAGGGCCTTGAGCCTTCTTTTGAATGTTCTGGGTCTCTCTGACCCAGCTGCAGTTTGTTAGGTAATTTTAGATTTCAAAGGGCCAGGCCTTTCATATGCAAAAGCCTCTACACACAGCTTGGATGGGGTGGGGTCTCAGGGGATCAACAGGACAGAGCAAGCAGCTATGGCTGCTCCTCAGTCCTACCCTAATAGGCCCCGCGTCTCAGTGTACTAGTAATCGCTGCAAGCACTTCTGAGAGAAAGCCGCCCTCAAGTTCCACCCGCTGCCAGACAGTCCAGTCTCTCCTCGTATGAGTCTGGGTCCCCAGAGACTCGCCTGGAACTGGAGTTCAGAGCAATTGGGAGCTTGAGACTCCCTCCCAATTGAAAAAGTCAACCGTGTCCTCAGTTGCCAGCCCTTTCCCACGTGCGCCTCCGTACCTCTGCACTTTACTTCTGCACCTCCTCTGAGTCTCAGTGTGATTTTCTCTTTCCTTCTAGTTGTAGAATTTCCACTCAGCTAGCCTTCCTGTGGTTCTGGATGATGTCCGTTTTGTCTTTTAGTTGTATTTTTTAAAAATATATAATATATATGTAATATATATATATATATATATTGCAACACAGTATGATTTTTTAATTTTTTTATTTTTTATTTTTTTAAAATATATTTCATTGATTTTCCACAGAGAGGAAGGGAGAGGGACAGAGAGTTAGAAACATCAATGAGAAAGAAACATCGATCAGCTGCCTCCTGTACACCCCCCACTGGGGATGTGCCCGCAACCCAGGTACATGCCCTTGACTGGAATTGAACCCAGGACCCTTCAGTCCGCAGGCCGATGCTCTATCCACTGAGCCAAACCGGTCAGGGCTAATTTATTTTTTAATTTTTTAATTGTTTTATTGGTTAAAGTGTTACAAAGATTATTACATATGTCTCCCTTCCCCCCCCCCACCCTTGACAATAAAAATATATTTTTATTGATTTTTTTCAGAGAGGAAGGGAGAGGGATAGAGAGTTAGAAACATCGATGAGAGAGAAACAAGGATCAGCTGCCTCCTGCACACCCCCACTGGGGATGTGCCCGCAACCAAGGTACATGCCCTTGACCGGAATCGAACCTTGCGACCCTTCAGTCAGCAGGCCGATGCTCTATCCACTGAGCCAAACTGGTTAGGGCTTTGTTGTATTTTTGAAGTGGTTGTGCGAGGCAGCAATTTCAGGTGTTTACCTATGCCACCATCTTGGTTTCTCCTGATCATCTTCTTCAGATCTTTCAGTATCATGGACTTCAGGCTCTGGTGAGACAAGCTGCTCTGTACGACCTTTTCCACGGACACATTTGTAATCAAAGTCCCTAAGTGCCCTCGATACAGCCAGAGAGCCATTCACACGCTGAGTCATTACAGAACCACCTGCACTCTGAATCTGTTCTTTTCCCAGCGGATTACTTGACTTGTGATATTGTATGAAGAAATGAATTTTCCTGTTCCTACAAAGGAAACCACTCGAGTCTCCACAGTTAGTGAAATAAGTCTGGTGAGGAGAAATGAAGACACCCACAGCTGTTGACCCATTCCTATTTGTACCATGTTTCTTCTCTGACATAGCTCTCATGTGTTCATCAATCTCCAGAAAACCTGTTCTGATTCCATTCTTTACATTTTCAACAGAAGGTGCTCCTGTAGACCCTTTAAAATCCTGGTTATTGGTGATGTGATCTAACAAATGCTCACAGCAGTATTTGGCAACCTGAGAACCAGCATGCCCATCATACAGAGCAAAGAATGACCATGTTTCAAGTCCGCTTGGCAAACCAATCACAGCTGTAGGTGCATCCTCCATTTCAACTCGCCAGCCTCGCATGCTGCTTAGCGCATATTGCAACCCATTACCCTACCCATGGGCATTATGTTTTCCATCTTTGGCTTGTCTAACATGCTCTCATTATGTCTTGATCCTTTAGGTCCGGAGCAGCCCCGGGCCAGCAGGTCCCTGGTCGGCTGGCCAAGGCGGCCACGGCCTGAGAGGGGGTGGGATGGGGGTCACCAAGGGGGCTGCAGACCAGGTCAGGCAGGGGATGGGGCAGAAGAGGGGAGGAGCCAGGCTGCCTCGAGGGCCCTGGCTTTCGGCGCCCTCAAGGCTCAGATCATCCGGGCATTGGAGCAGCGGGCAGAGACCTGGTTCCTCACCCACTGGCTCAGCCACCACGGCAGAGCAGCTGGAAGGAGAGCTGTCACTGATATTTTCAAGCATGGCTCCGCTGTTGCTCCACTTGCCCTTTGCCACTGTCTTTAGGTTTTTGAAGGCAACGTTTTCTTGGACCTGCTTTTTTTTCTGTATATTTTTTACTGGGTTTTCATAGTATTGAGTTTGGCAAGTATTGTTGAGTTTTCTGCATGACAAAAGCTGGGGAAAATGAGGAAAAAAGAAAAAGACACCGACTTTTCTATTTGTGAGCTCAGGTGGAGTGGAGACAGAAAGCTAAACTGAACTTTCCTCACGAAGGGTGAGGTACTACCTATGCCTGAGCCTTTCCAGTCCATGAAGCTGCTCTATAACACTCACAACTCCCACACCAGGCATGATAGCTCGCCCCACTCCTTGCTCTGCCCATGTCCCTGTGATGTTGCAGTTGCTAATTTACTTCCCAAACCAGCCAGGATGCCATAGTGTGATGCTGAGTATTCACAGCGCACTCCTGGGCTTTCCTAAACTCTATTCTAACCCCAGTTACATGGTTCATGGTTGTGGCCATTGGTAGATTTTTTTTTTTAAAGTCAAAACCAGATTAAGCTCTGAGGCTATCAGTGTTGTAAAGTCTATAATTATTTGGAAAGTGGCCAGCTGGGAGCTGTGAAGGGTTAAAGTTGTATCTGCCTCTGGAGAAACACAGGGCTCTGCGTCCTCAGGAAACTGTCAGCAGATGGTGTTCACTGTCCTCCATGTCCCAGCATCCTTCTCGTCCACTTCCGTCTCCTACCTTCAGCCCTGCCCCAGATTCTGGAGTGTGGCCATGGATAATGTGCTTTGAGAGGCACTGCTCCATACATGTTAGAACTAGTAGCCCCTCTGAGGGCGTGCAAAGGAGCCTGCCTTGGCAAGAAGTCCATTTGTTCTTGCCCACAAGTCATTTGAAATGGTTTCGTTCAAAACTATTATTTCTGAATCTTGGCCGGTTTTTACAGGAACAATTAGGTGTCCTGTGACCACTGCCTCCTATCGTCACTGCAGAAGACGCACTCGTGAGCTCTGTGGAAATGGCCGGGCACTGTGCGAATGAGGCCTTGCCATCTTAAACAGCTACAAAGACATGTGGGATCTCACATCCAACCCAAGATCCACTCTCACCTGCCCTTGTCTCATCTACTCCTGTCTGAATTGCACCTATGAGGTAGGCTCTCAAATGAGCTGAGCAAACAGATGTGAAACTGAGATTCAAATAATACCCAGGTAACAATGGGTAATGCTCACATGCATTGACAGTGGGTGTTTCCTTCAAACCCTACAGAGAAGACTTGGCATGAACATCAAGATGAGTCCGTTCACTTCCCCCCAGTTTGAGAATCCTGCCATGACTGGCACTCCTGTGGCAATGACTCTCACAGAAGCTCACGCAACGACAAGAAGCTGCTCGGCCAGAAATTATGCCTAAAACTATACCAGATGGTGCACACCAAGGCTCAGTGTACGTAGAGAGTATATGTAAATATGTTTGCATTTATTTTCTCCTTAAAAATAAAACAGACGCACATACACATACAGAAAAGCAGATCCACTTGACGTGAGAGTGATGTCGAGATCAAAGCTACTAGCAGGATGCAGTGGGCTTCTGCCTCTGTGGTCTGGTGACAAGGGTCACTTTCACCATCAGGTGTCCCAGTTTGGCTTCCTTCTGAGAAGCCCTTTGGGGATCTGTGTATGCCCACGTGTTTGTTTCTGCTGCCGAGGCCTTACTGATGCTGGCTGGTCGGCTCGGACGGCCACGTGGCAGAGGCTCCTGCCCTTCCCGCTGCCCAGAGCTCCTGTCCTGCCGCAGAGAATGGCCGTGTGGGAGGAGGTCAGAACTGCGGACAGAGACCAGATAGGCTTTTGTCATCTCGCTTTTCTGAAGAGATGGTACAACAGCTTTTAGATTTTAAAAGTTAAATAGCCATCGATTAGTCGTTGGAGGAAGCTCAGCCAAGGGCACTGTGATTCTGACAGATGCCCAAGGTTATGGGCTATGCTGTTTCCATGTCTGTGAACAGTGTGGGCCAGGTGACCCCTCAGGTCTGTCTGTCTCTAAGGTGCAGACGTCATGAGGCTCACACCCTCTCGGTGGTACATGCTCACATCTCAGAGGAAGTTCCACCTCTGGGTGGTTTCCAAAGGCTGCCATGGTGTCTTAAGATTTGCTTTTTAGTCCAAGAAAGTTACCAGGTTCTTCCTGTCTCAAAAGCCAAGAAGGCAGGTTTGAAATGCTATAGGTGACATAGACCATCAGCCCCCCTCACCTGGCCCAGAGAAGGTTTGGTAGTAGCCCTTTAAGAGAGAATATGCCTGGTGGGGGCTGGGAAGACATTGATAGTTGTAGGCAACACTTTTGCTACCTAATAATATATTCTGAGCCATAAAATAGATTCATAACTGCAAATGGCTTTCAAAGAATAATTTTTTACAGGTGTAAACAGCAGGTTAAAGACTTTTCTATGAGAAAGAGTGGCTGGAAAATCTTAGCCAAACTTACTTTCCCTGGACAGGTACCTTTGCTCAGACATTTCTGGGCCCTCTGGGGAGATGGAGGCAAAATCAACCTGGCAAGTAGCCATTAGGTCTCTACTAGGCAAAAGGAAGGGGAAAATTCATCCTAACCATGGTCTTGGAAGGGAGTATGTCCTATATTAGCAGTATTTGGTTTTTCATACAACTAGAAACTGGTGAGAGGAATGAGAATTTTATGGGCAATTAGGTTTTGCATATCTTTGCTGGTTGAAAAAGTGCTTCGATTTTATTTGATTTACTCTCCAGGTAAGTCTAGAGAGAATGACTGAGATAATTTGTCCTCTTATCATCCCAGGTTTAAACTAAGGCACCAGGGTCTAGGTGCCTTCTCTCTCTTCTCTCTCTCTCTCTCTCTCTCTCTCTCTCTCTCTCTCTCTCACTGGAAAGGGGTGGAAGTGCTCCCTACATGGGCCTGGGGTGTGATGCCAGGGCAGGAACCTGGACGCACCTATCCCATGAGTTATCACTGGCCAGAGTACATACCTTCTATTGCTTCTTCCTCTTTCGTCATTTCTTAAATAATTTTATAAAGAAAAAAGAGCCCTCTTCCTAAAACAGACCATACTTGCTTTAACCAAAGGTGTTTACCATTGAAATCAAGTGCCACTTAACTCTTTTCCTTTGAAATTCAAACACATAACTAGACATAGATGTCAACTATCCCAACAACCAAGACAATTTATTATTCCTCCTATTTTCCCTGCTTCTAATTTCCAAAAATCTAAATTCTTTTTGCTGTAAGAAAACACATGTGGGAAAATTCTTTTTAAAAATGCTCTCCCACACCATCCAAAGTGTTTCCCGACTATAAAAGGAACCCCCACCACTACCAGTTGAGTCCTTTGGCACAGAACTGGGGGAGAGAGGTAGTGGGGAACACGCAGTGTGTGTGGTTTGCGGGCTCTCTGCAGGAGGCATATCTGAGCCTTGGAGGCCCTCAGGCCCAGTGGACCAACCAGTGGGCTGGGAAAGAGTGGTGGGTACCTTGGCTTGTCCGCTGGCTCCAGCAGCTCGGGGGTACAAAGGGAGGTCGTGAGTTTCAGTGTGCTGCTTAGCAAAGTTCACAAATACCTGAAAGCAAGAAAAGAGCAAGAATAGGTATATGCTTCCAGAAGAATGGCACCCTCCACCCACCCCTCCACCCCCCACCCACCCCCCACTGGGCTTTCTCTTTTCCACAGCTCATAGACAGCCCTGCTGGAGCAGCTGTGTGCTGCAGGAGGGGAGGCTGGCCCACCTGAGGGGCCTGGCCACCAGGGCCCTGCACAGGGCTTGTTTCTTAGAATTCCGAGCTGAGCCATAGGCGTGCCTCTGGGAGGATTCAAAGGATGTGGGGTATACAAGGCAAGGCAGATCCCAAGTAGCAGCAGCCTTCTAAACCTCTAAAGAAGAAACTAAAAGCAAAAATACAAAACTGGATCTGATCTCATCTCTCCTCTGTCCTTTAGTCAATGTGCAGTGTGGTCGTGACTCCTGCTCATGCATTCCTCTGCCTGTGGCTGAGAAGGTGCTGGTGACTCAGCTTCTCAAAGGCTATTGGAGACTTGCCTATGCACTGCTTGATTGCACAGTCTCTAAGGATGTCTACTTAAAATAAACACACAGCAACAACAAAATACCCCAGAAAAAACTCAAATATCCGAATGGATAAAACAGAATATAGACATACAATGGAATATTACTCAGTCTTTAAAAGAGGGATATTCTGACACATGCTACAACATAGATGAACTTTGAGGACATTATGTCAAATGAAATAAGCTAAACAAAAGGGACAGAATACTGCATAATTCCACTTATATGAGGTACGTTGTGTAGTCTGCATTCAGTGGTTATGGTGGCTGTGGGTTGGAGGTTATTGTCTAATGAATTGAGAGTTTTAATTTGGGAAGGTGAACAATTTCTGGAGGAAGATAGTAGTGATGATTACACAACAATGTGAATGTACTTAATGCCACTGAATTGTACATTTAAGACAGGTGATAATGTTATACATATTTTACCACAGTAAAAAGTGATCACATTTAGAAACCCTGACATATGGCATAAATATGTATTAAAACTCACCAAATTGTACAGCTTAAAGGGGTGCATTTTATTGTACGTAAGTTAAGCCACAATAAAGTTGATTTGAAAAGAAAAAAAAAAAGCCATCACCACAAACCAGGAAGGTTGAAATAAAGTCATAGTGTGGTGGGGAAGGATAATGCAAACTCAATGAGATTTGCTGATGACTAAAATAGTGTTAGACAACAATTTCTGACAGGCTGAGTTTCAGCCTAATGGACAGATGCTCAGGCATGTCCTGCCTCCCTGTGGTGGGGATTCCAGCCCTGGTTGGGCTGTCCGGTCGGGACTTTGCAGAGCCCCGCTCTGCACCCGGCTCCCCTCGGGGGACTTGCCTGGTCCAGAGTGGTCTGTGTGACCGAGTACTCCTTGATGAGCAGGCTGTCCTTGTGGGAGATGAGCAGCCGGAAGATCCTGGCCAGGGAGAAGGAGGGCACCTGGAACTGGAGCATGTTGTGGTGCCTCTCCCTCTGCACGCTGCCCGGGAAGTTCCCCTGGAAGAACTGCTCCACGGGGTTCAGGTCGGGAAGCAAGTCGTCCTTTGGAGATTTGATCTTCATTGTGACGATGTAGCCATCTCCGAACCTATGGACGCCCACCACAGCGTGGTACAGGCCTGTTAGTAGTTGGGTCTAAGGCAGTCTCAAAATCAGGAATAGACTCATCAAAAGTATTGGGGATTAAAGGCCACCCTATAAGCCATTTGTGCGTGTTTAAAACTAGAAGGTCATCACACCTATGTCAAGCTTCCTGTGTCCCACTCCTGGAGGCATGAATGTTCCCTGTTCCTTTCCTTCTCACATACTTGCTGAAGTCAAAGGTGTTTTAGCCCCCTGTGGAGATCACAGACCTGCCCAGATGTATATTCTCCAATTTAGTTATATTTCCAGTCTGGCCCTTGCATGAGGTACAAGACTGGCTGCTCTTCAGCCACCATTTTTCCCTCCTTGATTTAGCATATTCTTAAGGGCCCTAGGATTTTCAGAATAGTCAATGAGCAATGGCTTCAACTTAAACTCACTGGCTGCATTATTATTCTGTTTTATAATAAGAAGAGAGTCAGCCTGTCCTTTGAAGTTTTCAAGCCAGGCATTAACTTCTCCTCTCCAGCTATATTGCATTTTCTTCCAATATAGAGCCCCTTTTGCCACATTGAAAATGTGCTGTTTAGTGTAGCCACCTTCATTCATTGTCATAGCTAGATCTTCTGGATAACTTACTACAGTTTCTAGCTCAGCACTTGCTGCTTCCCCTTGCCCTTTTATGGTATGGAGATGGCTTTTGTTCTTAGACCTCATGAACCAGCCTCTGCTGGCTTCTGCTTTTCTTCTGAAGCTTCCTCACCTCTCTCAGTCTTCACAGAACTGAAGTTAGGGCTTTGCTCTGGATTCAGCTTTGGCTTGAGAGAATGCTGTGGCTGTGTTGATGCTGTATCCAGACCACTAAAGCTTTCTCCGTATCATCAATAAAGCTGTTTTGCTTTCTTATCATTTGTGTGTTCCCTGGGGGAGCACTTTGCATTTCCCTCAAGAACTTTTCCTTTGCATTCACACCTTGGCTACCTGTGTGGTGCAAGAGGCTTAGCTTTCAGGCTATCTTAGCTTCTTGCTCAGCCTAATTGCTTCTAGCTTTCTATTTAAAGTGAGAGGGCTGTGACTCTTTCACTTAAACACTTAGAAGCCATTGTCAGGGCATCAATAGGCCTACTTTCAACATTGTTGTGTCTTGGGAAATAGGGAGGCTTGAGGAGAGGGGGAAAGATGGTGAATGGACAGTTGGCGGAACAGTAAGAACACACAACACTTATGGATTGTGTCATCTTACACCAGTGGTGCCCTGAGCCAGATCACACATAAAAATAAAACAGTATCATAATCATGAAAACATTTGAAATGTTATGTGAATTACCAAAATGTGACACAGAGACAAAGTGAGCAAACCCTGTTGGAAAAGCAGTTGCTGATAGACTTGTGAGATGCAAGTTTGCAAAAAAACTTCAGTTTTTTTTAAAGCGCATTATCTGTGAAGCATAATAAAGTGAAGTGCAATAAAATCGGTGTCTGTATTTAATGTCAGTCCAGTTAAAATTCCAGGTTTCTGGAAACTGCACAAAATGATTTTAAAGTCTATGTGGAAAATAAATATGGGAAGGAATTGTCAAAGTAATAAAAATTAAAAAAATCTCAAGAGGGGATTCACCTACCAGATATTACAAGGTAGCTGAATAACGCGCTGCCATGGAAACAGCTATGGGACATGGAGCCACAAGCCAGACACAGTGTCTGGAGGCAGATCTGAGCCTGGTGTCCCCAGGAACTGGGGGGTCAGAAAAGGGGCCTTTCATTTTGATGAGGAAAGGCCACATGGTGACACAGAGTTATGTTGTGACAAAGTAAGCTTAGCTTCTATATCAGTGAATGAAACATAAACTCAAAATCACTTGGAGCTTGGCCAGCATGGCTCAGTGGTTAAGTGTTCACCTACAAGACACAAGTTCCAGTTGCGGGCTTTATCTCCAGTATGGGATGTGTAGGAGGCAGCCAATCAATGATTCTCTCTCATCATTGATGTTTCTATCTCCCTCTCCCTCTCCCTTCCTCTCTGAAATCAATAAAAATATATTTTAAAAAAAAGATTACTTGGAAAATAAAATATAAAGAAAGCAAATTAAAATTATCCAATTAGCCAAGAATATGGAGGGTGTTTGTTTAAACTTGCAGTAAAGAAGACTCTTTAAAGCAAGACAGTGTACAAAGGGAAAACAGCTAATTTTCAGGAAAAATCATCCTAGTAAGATTACAACTTACCTCCGTGCAGATGAACCCGGGTTGTGATCTGGTTACTGTGGAGATAAATGAAAATACATAAACTAAAAAAGTGTTGCTGACACTGAGCTTATCTTACACTAAATTCAAGTCAATTTTTAGTCAATTTTGAGTACTGGCACCTCAGAGGCTCCTGGTCCAAGGAAAGGGGACAGCACGTGTGCGTCCTCCCAACTCTGGTGACCTGAGTACCTGTGTTTTTCACTTTCCTTTTGTAAATAACCGGGAATGGGATTGCTGCTTCATGTGATAAATACTTATTTCAGTTTTCAAGAGAATGGCAAACTGCTTTCCAAAGTGGTGAAGCTTTCCTTTCCCACTAGCAATGTGGAGACTTCCAATTTCCCTTCAGCGTCACCAACACTTGGTACTGCTGGCCTTTTGGTTTTAGCCTCATAGTCTGCAGTGGTACTTTCTGCTATTCATTTGTACCCCCTAGTGCCAAATGAGGCCAACCATCTTTTTTTTTTATCCTCACCTAAGGATACATTCTTACTGATTTTTGAGAGAGGGAGGGAGGGAGAGAGAGAGAGAGAGAGAGAGAGAGAGAGAGAGGGAGAGAGAGAGAAATGTGGGAAAAATGGATCCGTTACCTCCCTTACATGCCCCAACTGGAGATGAAACCCACAACCTTTTCATGCACAGGCTGATGCTCCAACCAAATGAGACACCCAGCGGGGCAGGTTGGGCATGTTCACGTGAGTCCACCTGAGCAAACAGTTGTTTTTCCCATTTAAAAAGCTTGGTCATTATTCTCATCATTGAGTTTTGAAAGTTCCTTATGTATTCTGGATACAAGTATATCATTTGTAAGTATTTTGTTTGTGTCTGTGGCTTCTATTTTCATTTTCTGAATGGTGACTTTTGAGGGGCAAGGGTTTTAGTGTGTGATGAGCAGCAGCTCAAGACATGGACCTACCAGAGTCAGCCCTGCTGGCGGGATCCCATGCAGAGTGAGTATAGAAATGATGTAACACAAACATGTTACCACACACACTCACACTCACATGCACATCACACACACTTACGCACACATAGGACAATGCCCACACAGAAGCAAAGAACTGTGACTAAGTGGTGCTAGCCACAGGGTGATCTTGGGCCTTGTCCCAGCCCTGACTAAACAGGAATGATGAAACAAGGGCACATCCATACCTCTGGCAAGATTTGTTTACGAAATGATGGAATTTTGTTCCTTGATGAGGCACCTGCGCTATGTCTGCGGCTTTGATTCAAATAATTGTAAGTGCTCATCCCATTTGACACTAAAAAGTAGAAAAGAGGAAAAGGTCAGTTAGGAACCATCATCATCCACTGTAGGCACCTACCCAGCTCCCCTGAGCTGCACCCTGGGGTGTCAGGTCCTCATCAAGTTACTGGGGAGCTGCTGGACAGATGGCTACTGCACAGCCCGCCTGGCCTTAAGGCAGCAGCCAGCAGCTCCTCACACTCCCTGAGCCGCTGTCCCCCTCCCCTGGTCCCGGGAGGGGCTGCCCTGCCTGCCTCACAGCCCATAAAGTAAATATGGCCCTGTGAGTAGTGCCTGCCCAGCACACTAGTTATTAAGCCGATGCTCTGGCTCCAGCTGTGGCAGGAGCAGGCCCCCTAGGGTTGCTCGCCCAGGTGCAGGGAGCTCCATGGAGCAGAGCCTCATGCCCTGCCCTGAGCAGTCTCGACAAGTGCTGTTGTTTTTGTTGTGTTTGGACCTGACTTATCTGTCCTGATTCACTCCACCTGGCTCCTCCCCCATTCTTCCTCCTTCCCTCCCAACCTGGGAAACAGCTGGAGGATAGAAACTTGCACTTGGGTATATTCTGGTGGGTTTGCACAAATACCATCAAAATCAGCTTGTGCGCATGTCCTCTGTGTCTCCCAGAGCTCACACTTACTCTGAGTACATTTTATGTAACACATTGAACCCTGACAGAACAATAAAGTAGGGGAGGCACAGCACAGAACTTGAAACCTCATAGGCGAGGAACTTTGAGGCCTGAGTGCAAAGTACATGCTTTAAAAGGACGTCCACCAGTTTTTCCTCCAACATCAGCTTGGGGCGATTTCTAGAATCCTGCTCTTCCTTAATTTCACCCAGGATGCTCTCTGCTCCATGTCCCATGACTGTGGCTTTTCTCCTCCGTCCTCAGTGGGCACTTTCCACGTCCTGTGTCTACCCAGCAGATCTCACCCTCACAGTGTCTCTCCCACTCACGTTCTGAGGACTCATCAGGATGCCCCTGTCCCAAGCTTCAAATGGCAGCATCCAGCTGCCAAGCTTCCCGTGTGGCCCCCTGCAGTGCCCCCTGCAGCGTGTTGGTGCCTTGTGGACTCCCTCCTCTGGAGTGCGGAGTGCTTCCAGTGACTTGCAGAAAGGCAGTGGGACCACCTGCACGCCTGGGTGAGAGAGGCTGGCTTCTGCCTTGCTGCCCCCCTCGTCCTCTCATTTGCTCAGCAGCTGAGTTATGATTTGCTGGTCATGGTGAAGATGCATGTGGCAAAGAATGGGAGGGGCCACCTGCCCAAGACTCCTGAGGACTGACCCTCCAACAGCCTGGTGATGAGCCCGGAGTGGGCCTCCCCGGTGAGGTGAGACCACAGGCCCAGCCAAGGCCTTGACTGAAGCCTCACGAAAGACTCCGGGCCAGAGGACCAGCTGAGCTGTGCTGGACTCCTGACCCACAGGCACTGTGAGGTAATACACGTGTGCTTTTAAGAGGCTGCATTTCAGGCTAGTTTTCCTATAAAGAATATCCCAACTTTACCTGGAAATTTATTCTTTGGTGTCCAAATGCCCCAAAGTAGACATGTTCAATCTTGAACTCACTATGCGTCTCCCCTCTCAGGGGTGTCTTCCTGTCTGTCACCACCCTTCCCCTCCCTTCCCGCCCTCCCCTCTCGCGCACCCCACCCCCCACCCCCCCACCCCCCCGCCCCGCTCCCGGTTGCCTGAGTTAGAACCCTTTAGGTCCCAGTCCTCAAATCTCCACTTAGTCATTATGCCCTGTGGATTTGAGTTCTCTAGTGCCTCCCTATCTTGTGCCTGGAAACTCATCATGCATGTCCTGAATGTCTTACTGGCTCCCAGCCTGGTCTGCCTATCCAGCTGGCGCCTCCATGCTACTGTGCACCCTCGCTGGAGAGGCGCTCTTTCCCCAGTGTGTCCCTGACCCCATCACCCACTGCTCGATCACCCCCCACCAGAAGCTTTAGGAAGAGCCAGGGCCTTGGGCACTGTTCCTGTGCACTTCCATGGCTCAGCTGGGCTGTCCCCGCACTAGGCCAGCTTCTCTCAGAGGCTACAGGGAGGAACCATCCTGACTTGCCAAGAAAGGCTTCACGGGCAGGGGCAGCCCCGCCCGCCCCTATTCAAGGACATTGATGCAGCTGCCAGGGGCCCTGTGCCGCCACCTTGTGGACAGGAGGAAACCACCAGTCCTCCTGCAGCTTGTCTGGCTAGTGGGCACCCTGTCACTGAGTGGGATGTTTTCCTTGTTAGGATTTTATTTTTTTATTTTTTTTAATTAAATCTTTATTGTTCAGATTATTACATTTGTTCCTCTTTTTTCCCCCCATAACTCCCCTCCTCCCAGTTCCCGCCCCATCCTCTGCCCCCACTCCCCACCCACTGTCCTCATCCATAGGTGCACGATTTTTGTCCAGTCTCTTCCGGCATCTCCCACACCCCTTTCCCCCCAAGAATAGTCAGTCCATTCCCTTTCTATGTCCCTGATTCTATTATAATCACCAGTTCATTCTGTTCATCAGATTATTTATTCACTTGATTCTTAGATTCACTTGTTGATAGATGCATATTTGTTGTTCATAATTTGTATCTTTACCTTTTTCTTCCTCTTCTTCTTCTTAAAGGATACCTTTCAGCATTTCATATAATCCTGGTTTGGTGGTGATGAACTCCTTTAGCTTTTCCTTATCTGTGAAGCTCTTTATCTGACCTTCAATTCTGAATGATAGCTTTGCTGGATAAAGTAATCTTGGTTGTAGGTTCTTGGTATTCATCACTTTGAATATTTCTTGCCACTCCCTTCTGGCCTGCAAAGTTTCTGTTGAGAAATCAGCTGACAGTCGTATGGGTATTCCCTTGTAGGTAACTGAGTTTCTTTCTCTTGCTGTTTTTAAGATTCTCTCTTTATCTTTTGCTCTTGGCATTTGAATTATGATGTGTTTTGGTGTGGTCCTCTTTGGATTCCTTTTGTTTGGGGTTCTCCGCGCTTCTTGGACCTGTAAGTCCATTTCTTTCACCAGGTGGGGGAAGTTTTCTGTCATTATTTCTTCAAATAGGTTTTCAATATCTTGCTCGCTCTCATCTTCTGGCACCCCTATAATTCTGATGTTGGTACGCTTGAAGCTGTCCCAGAGGCTCCTTACACTATCCTCGCATTTTTGGATTCTTTTTTCATTTTGCTTTTCCGGTTGGGTGTTTTTTGCTTCCTCGCATTTCAAATCATTGACTTGATTCTTGCGCTCCTCTGGTCTGCTGTCAGGAGTATGTATAATATTCGTTATTTCAGTCCGTGTATGCTTAATTTCTAGTTGGTTCCCCAATATAACATCGAGGGTCTCATTAGTTTTCTTGTAGATCTCATTAAGTTTATCGGCGGATTCTAAACAGTTCTTGAGAGACCTTAAAAGTGTGGTTCTGAACTCTATATCTTCCATTGACAATTTTGTCCTGTTTCTTTGTCTCCGCATTTTGTTATGCTTCCTTGGTGCACCCCCTAGTGGTCTTTGTGTGCAGTCTTATAGTTAAACCTTGATTGTTGTAGCTAATACCAGGGAGGGTTTGACCTCCAGGCCAAGTGGCTATGAGAATCTTCCTTGTTAGGATTTTAATGAGCGCTTTCCTCAGTCCCCCGTTCTATTTCCATGGGGTCCTGGTCCTGACTTAGACCCTACTTATCTCTCTGAACACGTTAATCTATACTTTTTAATCTTTCGTGTTTTCTGCAGTTCTTGGAACAGGATTGGCCCTGCTGCCTCTCAGTTCAGGGTTTGCCTTTTGGGCATGAAGCTTGTTTCTGGCCAGTGGAGCGGCCACCTGCCGCATATGAACATGAGGGGAAAGGACTGGCCAACCTGGACCGGGGCTGGGGGGAGGGGGCATACTTAGGTAAAGATGGAAGATGAACAGTTGCCCGATCATCAGGAGGCTGATGAGGTTCAACACCAGCACCAACACTGCGATTGTCACAAACACTGGGGTCTTTGCCTTTAGGTGGAAATATGGTAGGAAAAGAAGCCATGTGTTCTGACTGTTGATGTCTGTGGAGAGAAGACAGACAAAGGCATTCAGCGCCTACTGACATGGTAGCACCTCTCCTCAGGGGAGCACCATGGACAGAGCTTGGCGTGGGATAGGGAGGGTGGGGGGAGGAATACCAGCCTAAAGCAGGTGACCACCTTCCTGTCCAGGTGAATATCTCCCAGCCCAGGAGAACTCTTCCTCCCCAACCAAGTGAGCACCTGCCTAGCCAGGTGAGCCCTTGCTCCTTACTCAGGTGTGTGTCCTGCCTTTACCTAAGTGCCCTTGTAGCCCCCGCTGTCTGCAGTGGCTGTTATGATTCCTCCTGATGGGTCCAGAAGGTGAGGCTGAGGGAGGGTAACTATGTCTAGGTCACAGAGCCTGACCCCTGTGCCTGACCCCCACACCCACCCTGTCCTGCAGGCCTGCAGCCTGGCCAGGCCCTGGCCATTCTGCACCAACCACTCTCACACAGCCCTGGCAGGCTGCAGCCGCTCGGGGTGGGGGCATTTCTAGGGCATGGTCCCCAGAGCCGCTCACAGCCACACTGCTCCCAAACATGAAGTGCAAGAAAAGTCTTGAAGGCTTGCGTGGGCGGAGCAGCGAAGATGGGACTCATTCCAGACGGGAGGGTGGGCTAAGACAGAGGAAACTTGAGGGGAAGCTACCAGAGCAGCAGCATGTACTTTGGTAGTGGGGATCCGTGCGGAGCACACGTGGGTTGACATGATGCTGGATAACAATATATAACAAGATGGAAACAACACAGAGCAGCCAGGCCAATGCGGATGCTAAGGAGCTGAAGAACCACCTGTGGGAAAAGCAGACACGGCTCAGAGCTGGGACAGCTGCCCTGAAGCACAGTGACCAGCATCAGCCCATCCCCGTGTGAGGGAGACTTAGGTGCCCAGGCAGCATAGGGCATGTGCCTGATCTTGGCACGACCAACCCTGACCCTGAATGCTGCTCTGATTGCCTGGTAGAGCTCAACCGTTTGTTCTCATGCTGTCTTGAGCATTTACAGTGCTAGGTGACGTCAGTGATTCGTGAACACTGATCACACTTACAGTTTTATGTTGCTTCACAACATACAGGTGATGATCTCATTTAATCTCCATCAGAGATTGCAAAACGGGGGACCACCCTCAGCTCACCAAGGTAAACTGACTCACCGAAATGGGGTGTTACCTTCCCAAGCTGCCTGGCCCACCTAGAACTTCCGGGCAAGATTCCATGGTGTCGCCAGCCCATGGGCCAGCCTGCTTTTCCCTGCTCCCCCTTATTCAGGACAGGGCTTCCTCCCAGCCAGGACGCCTTGCATACATCCTCTGTGCTTAGGGCCTGACAGCTCAGTGGACAGAAAGCGAAGGGACCCAGACCAGCAGATCAAAACTCTCCAGCCTAGTCCATGCCCTGTGGAAGGGGCTGCTCCTCTCCAATGCTAACAAGGGTCTCCAGTGATATATGCTGTGAGGATGGACTTCACATGGCATGTTCAGGGTCGGCTCCATCCAAACACATTTCAGAACGAGACAGGGAGACAGGAGGGACCCTGAGCTCCATTGTACCGAACAATGGCACACAGCCCCCTCTGCCCATGACCCCCCACTCTAACCACGAGGCCTCCAGCCCGCAAACCCTACTTCAGGGCCCCCCATTACCCTCCCCTACCTGCCAGCTCCCTTACCAGTAATTCCTGCTCCCAATACAGTTGTTGAGCCATTTGCAGTGATGGTCAAAGCCAGCGATGCATTTGTTGCAGGCCCGGCAATGTTTGGCTTTCTCGCTCCTGAAAGGAAAGGTTTGGGAGAACCAGCTTGTCAGCAACCTGTGCAGGTGAAGAATGGGGTCAGAGGCCCCTCAGCCAACAGGGAGGGAGGGATTAGGCAGCAGCAGCCCCAGTCAGCGTGAACCTGTGTCCAAGTGGTGGGGCGGCTCCCCTCGGCCACACCTGCCACATGGTGCCAGGGTTTGAGGCCTGGGGTCCGGGCTAGGATCTGCCCTGAGCCCTGGGCCCCACTACCAGGCTGGCCACTTAAGTTCCCAGGCCACGGGAGACCCAGGCACCTGACCAGCCCTGTGAACCACTGGGGCGGGGTGCTCATCTGAGAAAGCCCAAGAAAGACAGTGCTTTCTGGCTCCTAGATCAGCAAGGGGCCGGGGAGGCGGTGTGTGTCTGAGGTCACAGCACCAGCCTGCTGCATGTAAACAGCCCCTGCTTCTTTGGGGAAGCAGCATGGCACTGCCCTTCATGAGGGGCTACAGCGTTAAACCTGGCAGTCCACCCCGTGGGTGCCGGCCATGGTGCAGCCTGGCCTTACGCCCCAGCACTCACACGGTGACCCCACATAGGCAGCAATACAGATCTTCTATAACATGGAGGTGTTTGGATCTGTCGAACGTGGGCACTGGTTCACTGTAAATCTTCTTCCTTCTCACATTATCCTCGCCCGGGTCGATGGAGACACACACGAGGTACACTATAACATGGAACAACATCATCCCGCCACTCACCTGTGGGAAGCGTGTCAAGGAGTAACTGAGCCCAGGCCCCGCACAGCACAGCACGAGGTGTCCAGGCCCTGGCGCCTGACCAGAGCTGTGGGCACAGCTAGTGGCAGGGACCGAGGATAGCCTCTCCCGCCCCTCATTTCTCCCTCCAGGAAGGACAAAGCAGACCTGCTGGAAGGAGGCTTTCAAATTGGGGCCACGGTCCTGCAAGAGGCGAACAGGTGCATTTCTAAGGGTGTGGGTCCCATGAGCTTCACCAAGGGAAAGGCCTGTGTGCCCAGATGGGCACCAAGCTGCACTCTGAAGGTCGTGGGCGAGGGCAGCCAACCTTATTGGGGAACGGACAGGAGGTTGGCCAGGTGGCTGTGGGGCATCTTCTCTGGGAGCAGGTGAGGCTGGGACTGAGCTGTGTGGCCCAAGGCCTTTGGTCCTATGACTATGCTCCGCTCACACACCAGACCACTGCCAGGGAGTGTGAGGGCAGCATCCCCTCCACTTGGACTCTCAGCCTGAAAGTGGAGGTGCCAGGGGCACCGGTCCTGGGCTACCCAGTCAGTTCTACAGTGCTGCCAGTGACCAACTTCCTAAGCCTTTCTCAAACTGCTATGGACAGGCAGTCTCCCGGAACCTGTCCCTTGGGAACAAACAGGTGAGTCCTCCAGGGGAAAGGACCTGTGATTTCTAACCCCTCTCCACTCTACACAACAGGCAGGTGATGCCCAGTAAAAGGATACTCCATAGGCAATGTACTTCCACATGCCAGGCAGCATGGGAATAAAAATGCCAAACATGGCTAAGGCCAAGGTCACAAACATGGCCCAGGATACTGCCTGGTATCCGTGGAGGGGCTTCGACCAGCCATTCATTCTTGACAGGCGAGGCGGCAATGTCTGCTGTGCCCTGCTTGCGGGTTCTGGGAGGACCCTTCTCTGGCTCCTGCCACAGCAGTCCATCTGCAAGAGGAAAAAGGGGAGCCTGGCAGGCCACGGGCTTCCTTCCCACAGCCAGGCGTGGCCAGGGACACCCCAGGGGCGGGAACCCCCCTCCCTGCCTCTCCTGGGACCACTGGTGGTAGCAGGGGCGGGGCAGGACTGGAGCTGGGCTGGAGCTGGCAGAGGACCCTGGACAGGGGAATCCAAGGCGGAGCCATCCAGGCAGCCACGACGCAGCTGTGGCCAACAGCTCTTAGAGGGAATGTGGCCCACAGGGCTCAGGAAACGAAGGGGCACCCACCCACCAGCACTCCGGTGTGGGCCCTCCCAGGCCCTCGTGGCCAGGGAACAGCCTACAGTGATGCAGATAGCTTGGGTCAGGTCAGGAGCATGGCCCAAGCCATCATATAGGAGTGGCTTTAGAAACAAGTCCGGGTCTTGTTCATAGAGGTGCCTGGACTCATCAGGAGACCCATCAGTGTGAGATGAAAACCTGTGTCAACACCAGGCCCTCATCCCCGGGGGCAATGAGGCAATGCAGGAACAGATAACTGCTGGTGTGATGAGGTGATCTTTTATTCTATAGAAATCCTCCCTCAGAATTCTTCCTGCAAGTTCCCCTCTAAAACAGAACCAGACACCGGTTTTGCAGAGAGTTCTGTGTTATTTCTTGTGCAGGGACAGGGAGGGCCTGTGACCTCTGGGCATCCAGTATCGCCCAGGTAGAGAGCGGGCCAGGAGCCCTGGGAAAGGAAAGGACTGGGAGTCAGAGGGACCGTGGATCATTTGAGATGTGGGGCGGAGGTGAGTGTTATTTCACAGCTGCTGCAAGCGGACTTTCAGAAAACTCTGCCACATTATGCCCTGTGCAGACGTCATTGTCTGTTCTGAATAATACGTATAGACTATATAGTTGATATTAAGAAATATTCTCAGCGTTTTTCTTATTACTTATGAATTCCCTTGGGAATTTTCCCCAGAACACATTTTGGCTGCTGTCCACTGCTTTTGGTCATCCACTGTGGTTCTCTGAGTGTGACAGCAGGTGGACATGGGGTCGAAGTGGCCGCAAGCTTACTTGGGTTTCATGACAATCTCAGGGTGACCTGAGAGGAAATCACTTATAAAACCAGAGCAAGGTACCTATGAGGGGGTGGAGGGTTGGGGAGAACACAGAAGGTAATATTAGTATAAAAACATCATGCTGATATAAGAACCAACTAACTGAATAAAAAAACAAAAAAACCCACAAAAAACCCAACATAGCCAAAAATCAAAGTCCAGAGAGGAATAAGAAAAGAAAAAAGATTACCTACAATAGATGGATACCTCAAAGTTGTAACTGGATTCAGATTTTGTACAATTTAATACAGAGCGAGTCTACAAGTTCTAAGAATCTCTGGAACTTAAAATAGACGCAGCCAAAGTATCACAAAAGTGTGAGAGCAAACTGGAAGCTCCTAACGTGTGAGAGTGAAAGCACACGGAAAAGGTTCTCACCATGAAATCGGAAAATTACCCACAGTGGTGAGCAAATGAATCTGCAATTACGTCTGAATCAAATCTACAAGGGAATCAAGTTGGAAGAAAGCCTGATGGCAGAGTTATCAGTCTTTGCAACTGTCACAGGCACCCTTGGTCAGAAGGCAGAAGGAGAGCAAGATGGCATCTGCCAAAACTATGAGCACCAGGCATATACTTACCCCCAGCTTCTTAGGACACATAAATGAAAGCAGTGACTGAAGCCCAGAGCGCTCCCAGGCAGTGCTTGGGGCTTTCTCAGGAGCTCCAGGCTCCCCAAGGTGTTGGGTGGAGCTCTGGCTGCCAATGATGGTGGTTTCCCAGGATGTGGTGTGGGACCCCTGCAGGCACTGCTTGGAGATGTCCCAGGCAATGCTTGGGGCTCCCCCAGTCCCTTTACCAAGCTCTCGAAAGTGCTGGGCAGAGCTCTGGCTGGCACTGATGGTGGTTTCCCACAATGTGGTGTGGGACTCCTGCAGGCTCTGCTTGGGGGTCTTCCAGGCAATGCTTGGGGCTGTCTCAAGTGCCCCAGCAGATTCCCCATGGTGTTGGGTGAGGCTCTGGCAGGTGCTTCTCTGAGCTCCACAGGGTGTTGTCTGGGGCTTCTTCAGGCACAGCTGGGTGTTCTCACAGGTGCTGTGTGGGACTCTTCCCGGTGCCGTGCTTGGCTTCCCAACCTGTTGGGTTGGTCTCTCCTGGGCACTACGTGGTTCACCCACAGGCTGCATGGAGCTCTCCCAGGTGCTTCGCTGGGCTTCCGCAGCTCTGCACAGCGCTAAGGGATGTAAATGGATTCTGTAGGTATAAAGGGTATGGATTGCCATTTCCCACCTTATGGTGCTATCACTGATCCCCTCTCAGCAGGATCTGCACTCATCCCATTAATAAAAGCCACGTGTAATTTTCACCCAGTTTGAAATATGTGCAAAAGGGAAAATGTGTATTTAGTTCAAATTCTTATCTCTTGGGAGATCAGTAAAAAAAACCTGAGACCAAATATCTGGCTTCCTGCTTATTTCTGGGTTGAAATTGGCACAAGTAAAGTGGGCTCCCCTGAGTGCTCCCACAGCCTCCCTGTGTGGACAAAGTGCCAAGTCTGGAACAGCCCCTTCCCCCACCCGTGGGAGTAACTCCAGGGTAATCAGCCACCCATTCATCCAACCACGCATCCATCCAAATTCTGATGTCCATCTCTTTGGGGCCAGACCTTGTGGGAAATACCACTTCCTACAGCAGATTCAGCTCTACCCCACCTGCTCCACACGTAGAGAAATGAAACAATAGTGCTGTCCCATCTCCAATGGCACAGACCCATTTCTCTATACTTCTTAAGGGGAGGTGTGCTGGTGAGGACCCCAGGACTGGGAGAGCAACAAAGAAGACAATGGCCAGAGCAGGCTCATTCTCTCTCATGAAGCCCACTTCCTACCACTGCCATGCAGCCAAACTGCTCAGGCCCTAGTGCTGAGAGCCAGGGAAAACGCTCTTCCTCCCTCTCCTGCCTAACACACAGCTTTCATATTGCCGCTGGATATGAACACACACTCCACCACACACACAATATCATACACATCACACACACACCACCACCACCACCACCACCACCACCATGTACCATGTACCACGCACACAGCACCCCAGCCCACACACACCACACAAAACACAACACACACACACACACACACACACACACACACACACAAATACACACATACTACACGCACATACACACCATATACGCCACTCACTGGCATCTTTATGACACTATGACCTCTGTGTAAACATGTCTAAACCCCATCACTGGACACAGACCCCAACATTTATGAATAGTTTGCTGTGTCTTGCTGGGTCTTGGACTATCTTTCTGGACCTCCAGTGGCCAAACCTGCTAGTCCCCTGGTGAGAACCGAGGAAGAAGTGAAGCACGCACCTCCCTTGCAGCCACACACACTCTCCTTTCTCAATTCTCAAAGTCGTCCTGACTGAACAAAACAGTGTGCACGATCTTACTCAGGCCAGGCCAGAATGAGGACATGGAACCAGTCCCCTGGACCTCCCTGGTTGACATGGCAACAACATAGACCAAGGGACCTCATAAAGCCCAACCCATGACCATGCCCATTGCCAGTTGTGGGGGAGTGGAGGGAGGGTGGGGATAGGCCCTGACCATGCCCATTGCCAGCTGTGGGGGAGTGGAGGGAGGGGGGGGACACCCTCTGAACATGCCCATTGCCAGTTGTGGGGGAGTGGAAGGGGAACTGGAGCAGACCCTGTGGAGACCCCAAAGATAAGATGCAGGGGGCCTCAGACAAGCTGGGCTGGTGGCAGCACCACCCTTCATCACCTTCACTTGAGTCCATTTTACAAGGTCCTCAGTTCTACCTAGAATATTTCCCGTCACAGACCCTCAGTGGCAAAGGGGCCAGCTCATGGCCCTCCCTGACCTCCTGTTCACTGTGGCCCAGGAGTCAATCCCCACTTTTCTGTCACACTTGACAAATCAGCTGTTTTGCTCCAGAAGCTGAGACTCACATACTCTGTCCAGGGTGTTGGTGCCTCTGGGTCAGATCTCGGGACCATGGCACCAACACAGCCGGCTGAGCCTGATGGCCCTGCCAGATGCCCTCTTAGTGGCCACAAAAGTGCCACAGCAGAAGGAGAGGAGTCAGGAAATGAGGGACATGTGAACACCGTGTGCTGAGTGGGTGTCATGTGCAAGAGAGGGCTTTTAATGGAAACCAATCGGTCCCTGGGAACCAGCTCACCCAGGGACCACATCTTCCGTTGGCTAGCTTCATTGCCTCTACATGAATGGCAAGATCCCAGCGATGGGACCACAAACATTGCTGAGCGCCTCCTGTTGTTCCTGTTTCTCCTGGTTCCCCATACTCCCCCGCAGGCCCAGGTTGCCACCTTGATACCAGACATGCAAGGGTCTGGCTGCCCACTGCTACCAGAGTCAATAAGTAGAGACAAGGTTGAATCTTTATGGTGCGTTTTATTAATCAGATAGCCGGCATCTGAGCAGCATGTGTAACACCCTGAAAAGACTGCTCTGACATTTCATTTCAAACCAGCTTTTATACAGGGATAGTGGGTGGGGAAAAAATCTAGAATCGGTGAGTTTCCAGGGTCTGCCTTTCTTCACTGTCCTTGCAGAGACTAGCCCCGGAGAAGATTAGCCGGGAAGGCCCTGTCCTCGATCTGGACTCCAGGCCGCCTCCTCTCCAGGGCCTGTTCTTCCCTGCAACACATGCTCCAGTTCCCCAGGGTCTGAAAGAATAGGTCTTCTTTAGAGGGCATAGCTATTGAACAACCGTGATTCTATTTCTAGTACGTGCCCCTCCCCATCAACCTGACTGGTTCCAGTTGATCTGGCCCATATCCAGAGCCCTTTTCAATAGGAGCCAGGAGTCTATGAAGAAACTGTTTTTCTTAGATGAACCAAAATCGTTTCAAGTAGAAATAAAAATTCAAATACACATAAAAGAAGGAAAGTCATTGAACTACAAATTAAAAATTCCCCATTTAGAAAATATCAGGCTCTGAGGGCTTTATTGGTGAATTCTACCTAATGTTTGTGTTTGTTTACTGTAAATCCTCTCCTGAGGATATTTTTCCATTGATTTTTAGAGAGAGTGGAAGGGAGACGGAGAGACACACAGAGAGAAACGTCTGTGTGAGAGAAACACATCGATTGGTTGCTTCCTGTATGAGCCCTGACCAGGGCTAGGGATTGATACTGCAACCAAGGTATGTGTCTTTGATCAGAATTGAACCCAAGACCCTTCAGTCCATGGGCTAATGCTCTATCCACTGAGCCAAACCAGTAAGGCTCTACCTAATGTTTTTAGAACAAATAATTCCAACCATACACAAACTCTTTCAGAAAACAGAGAAGGAAGTAATACTTCCCAATTCATTTCATGAGGCCAATATATGATACCAAAACCAGACAATGAATGTCAACATAAAAGAATATCATAAGCTAATATCATTCATGAATGTGGAGGCAAATATCATTAACAAAAGATTAGCAAAGAAATTCAGTCATACACACACACACACACACACACACACACACACACAGAGGATTATACACTGACTAAGTGAGGGTTATTCCAAGAATACAAGACTGTTTTAACATCTGCAAATAAATTAATATAAGAATATTAATGAATTAAAGTACATTAAACATATGAGTGCACCATACAGAAAGAGCTCTTTTCATAACACATCTGCTGATAAAAAATTTCACAACCTAGGAAAAAAAACCCGTCATTCTGATAGAGGGCACTGATGAACCTTAGAACTAATCCACACTTAATTTATACCAAATGCTTTCCCCTTAAGGTTGGGGCCAAGGCAAAATGTTCACCTCTAATGTGCACTCCACATGTTACTAAATTTCCAGCCAGTGCAATAAAGCAAGAAATAGAAAGTAAAGGCATATGAATTTGAAAGTAAAACTGTTAATTTGCAGGAAACATGATCCTATCAAATCTGCAATAAAGCTAACAGAAATAATAAGATAGCTTAGCAAGCTGGTAAGATAAAACCAATATAAAACAGTCAATTATGCTTTTATATACTAGTAATAAAGAACCTGAAAACAGTACTAAGAAATCTATACTATTCACAATAGCATCAAAAATAATAAAATGATAAAACAAGTGCACAGTCTATCTACTTAAAGCTGCAAACTATTGCTGAGAGAAATGAAACACAGTCCAAGTAAACGGAAATGTTTACAATATTTATGGATTGGAACACTCAGAATTGTCTTGATAGAAAATTTGCCCCAAATTGGTCTATAGATGTTCCATGATCTCTATTGAATCCTCATCACGTTTTTATTTTTAATTTTTAAAAGAAATAACAAGCTTATCCTAAGGTGTTTATGAAAATTCAGAGGACTTAGAGTGACCAACATAATTTAGAAAATAAGAACCAAATTGGTGGACTTAGAGTACCTGACTTCAAGTTTCCCTAAAAAGCTAGAGTAATAAGACTGTGGGACTGGAGTAAAGATCGACATAGAGATCAATGGAACAGAATAGAAACTCCAAAAAGGAAACTTTATGTTTCTGGCCAATGGATTTTAAATAAAGGTGCTAAGGTAACCCAAAGGGGAGAAATGAGAGTGCTTCAGCCAATGGTGCTAGAACATTACTTAATCATAGGAGCCCCCACCCAAAGAATTAACTTTCTGCCCAACTTCACAACCTACATAAAAAATAACTCAAAATTTGTCACAGACCTAAATTTCAGATCTAAACTATAACACTTCAGATGAAAAACAATAGAATAATCTTTGTGATGTTGAGTTAGGAAAACTGTACTTCTTCAAAATTAAAATCATTTGCTCTTCAAAAGTCACCATTACAAACATAAAAACATAGGTCACAGACTGGATTAACATATTAGCAAAAAACATTCTTGTATGCAGAATGTTTATAGAACTTCCAAGATTCATTAATAAGGAAAAACAACCTAAGTGTTGAAATAGGGAAAGATTTGAACAAACTGTTCACCAAAAACAGCACATAAATATATGTTCAGATCATTGGACATGAGGCAAATATGAATTAAAACTGCAGTAGTTTACCACTGCATGTCCACTGGAAGACCTACTATCAAAACAATGACCAACACCAAGTGTTTAAAATATGGAATAATTGGAAGTTTCACATAATCTTAGTGAAAATATAAATTATTCCACATTGGA